TTTTTGTTATTTCCAGCGGCGTGCAGATCAAAGAGGCGACGTCGCGGAAATTATTATTGCCGCGCACAAAACGCGTGATATTATTAGCATCCGACATTTCATTATTACGACTAGAACAAGAGAAAGAGAGAGAACAACTAATGTCTCGGTAAAAGGGTGATTTGCACGAAAGGGACGGAACACGGCGTTTTAAATCATTACAGTGGTGGTGTTTTATCTGATTGAAATTAGCCACGAAAGTCGAATTAAAAAGTACTTAAAAAATGCAAATGTGTCTAAATGGTTCTTAGAATATGACATTAATTTCTAGATCAAATTTAATTCATACGTGACTATTAAAAAGAAAGAAAGATTTCAAGATTGTTTTCCTGTCTTGTTTGATTTAAATTGATAATTTTTTTAATGCACACATGAAAAACATTAATTTATTACACTAAGATACCTGTAAGATACATACATTTTCAAAACTTATTTATTATTCAATTTAGAGTGTTTAAAGAGAACTTTTACAATTAAAATTTATTGTAGCCTTTTACTATAAAAATTTCAAAAACGATTATTTGATTCAAAAATTTTTCCCTTTCGGCTTTATCTTGATTTTACTTTCAGGAGGTAAAACTAAAGGCCAGCCCGTCCAAAATCGACGGAAACAATCTACCTCCTGCAAGAGTGAGGGCGAGGGCCACAATTACGCGGCCGGCGTGTAATAGCGAAAATAATCGCGCAAGGGCTGCAATTTCTCCTCTCTCTATTTTTTTTATAGCAATAACAATTTCGTCTGCAGCCAGAAGCTCGTTATTATCATTATACGGCATTCGTGCCGCTCGGCAGTATAATATTAAATGCGCGCCGAGTCCGGACAAAAACACAAAAAGCATAGCATGCGTGCCGACGGTGCTTTATGCGAGTTTCGCGTGACCCCGGCCGCAGGGGCTGCAAACGAGGTGGAGGTGAGGAAACATCCCAACAGGCTTTCATTCCCGCTCTCGTGTATGTGATTTGATTAAACGAGCGCCGATGGAAATCTTTTTGTGTTCTTTTTCTCTGTGTTGTGTATTATTGTCCCGCTGTTGTTGTGACTGTTCGATAAAGAGCAACAATGGGAATGACAAATGAAGTGGAGCGCGATTTTTCTCGGTAACCACACAGAGACAAAGCAGCGCACGTCGCGCTCGTTTGCGGCCTGGAATCGTGCTAATTAATCAAACGCAGACGCACGAAATGTACGCGAAATGCTTTTTGCTGCAATGAGGCAATTCTGCTCATCAATTACAACGCAAACAAGCGAGCCACGTTTGCTTTTAAAAGAGACAAAAGACAACAAATCATGACAAAGTTAATTAATTTCACTTTTTTGCAGCTACCTGGAAATTATTTCTGTTTTCCAACAGAAACTTTTACCTTGTTTTACTGACCGATTCTTTGTGATTTGAATATTTCAATATATATAATAGCTAAAATTGTTTCAAATTTAATTTTTCCTCTTCTGATGGAGATAAAACAAGGCAGTGGCATTTATGCAAACTAGAGAAGGCGAAAAAAAATTTTAATTTATTATTGTTGTTGTTTATTTTTCAAATGTTGCACATCAAATTGTTTGCATTTAACTAATAAAAAATGTTAGCAAACTGAAGACACTAGGCTTCAGATAAAGCTTCTTTTTTGGTGAAAATTTAAGTTGTAACACCAAGTAATCGATTCAGAGCAGGATTGATTATTGAATCAAATTTATTTAAAACAATTAATGATTTTAATTCGTCGCAGCAAGAAATTTTGCAATTTTCTATTTACATTTTAAATTTGAAATTAAAACCAAAAGTTAGTAACAATTACAATACTACAATATTCTTCAAAAGATATTTAAAAAATAATTTTTTTTTAATATTGTGGTGAAAATCAATTTAAATTAGGTTCAGGTGATGTTAATCAGAGCTTAATGTGCAGAATTATTTATAAGGTCTCGTCTGCATAATTAAATTTCTCACTTTCGTGCAAAGCCTGACAATCGATCACAACGACCATTAACGAAGGAAGGGTTCACTCTCAATGAACTCTGTAAACTCATTTAAATAAATGCATGCCGGAAGAGACGGCCTGCTCGAGTTATCCACGCGTAGGCTTCAGACTGCAATTTCTCACTTGTCAGGCCGCGACGCCTGCTGATGAGATGTGCGTTTTACGCAACACTCACGCACCTGCTACCCTCTCAGCTGCACCCCCGACGGGACAGAGACCCTAATTCTGGCGCAACAATAACACGGCCGGAGCAGCGCGCGGCGCCAATTTGCGGCTTCTTGTTTAAACTTGATGAAATATTTAGACACACCAGCAGCGTGGCCAGAGAGTGGATCGGCCGTCCCGGGGATGACAAATTGCGCTCCAAGCATGTATATCCATCGGCTAATGCCGATTTTGGTGTAGGTCCAGTGCTGGGTAATTGATCAGTGGCACTCAAGACCACAAAGAAGTCACTCAATTTTAATGAATTTTAATTTTTTAAAGGCAATTTTTAAATATAATTGTTTGAACAAATTATTAAAAGTGCAATGAAAAACTTCTTTGATAAAAGAAATGTTAAGTAAAAATTGAAAAAGGAATCAATTTACAATTTTATTCTAAACATAATATTTACAAGTGTAAATGGCCAAAGAAATGAAAATAATGTACACAAAATTTTGATATGATTCAGTTTGTGCGACTTTTGTTAATTTAATGTTTTGTAATATTTATGAAATTCCATTTTAATTTGTGAATTTATCCAAACTATATTTTTCCAACATCCAACTGTTGAGTTTTTAGTTTTGGTCTGGCATAAAATAATTATGTTTTATGTTTTCCCCTAACAAAAATACCAAAAATATGACAAATGAAATTTAAGTTACGCCTCCTGGACGTAGATTTGGTAATACAAGCCTATTTAAATTATTTACATTTTAATTAAAATTTTTTAAATTAAAAAAAGTTAATGGCTGTGATCCAATTAGAACTTTGTTTAAGGATTAAAATTGTCAGTATCAATCTTTACCCAAGCGTTTTACCTGACCTGCCTGCCAAAAGATTGATTTGATGATTTTATTTATTATTGTTATTTATTTCTCAAATTGTTTTAGTCTTCAGACCCCGTTTATAAAGATTAAATGTATAGTCCGTGCATACTACTCTTCATATTATGGCACGCAAGGCTGAAACGTAGATGAACAGCCCTGCTCTCACTGTGCGGGAATAAGCGCTGAAACTCCATTAAACGGCGGCGAGAGGCAATTATTTTTGAGCGAAAATGAGCCACCTGCAAAATTAGCAGCGCTTGATGATGTTTTCACCAGCTATAGCTGCCGAGCAGGCAGGTAGATAGGCCGGAGCCACCAAATTAATTTTGCCGTCAAACCAATTTTCGCGTGAAATTCAGAACGAGAGAGCAAACTCAGTTAGTGCCGAGAGTGATGAGATCTAGCTAGGGAGCTGTGCAATGCCGCGAAATAATAAGCGAAATGTTTTCACCCCTCGCGCCATCACCGACTGAACGGCAGCCATCCATCTCTAATTATAATCCGTCGGTGTATTGACGAGAGAGAGTGAGCAGCGAGTATTATTATGACGTACATACAATATTATGGAGAATATATATGTTGTGCAGTGGCCATCAAACTAAATCGCTAGTATGCGGTGAGGTCGAAATGGGCTTGTAATCTGCTGTGTGATTCCATGTTTGTAATTCCACTCTTACCGGATTTAACAAACTCCACTAATAATGCGCCAGAGGCAGGCAAAATAATCTGCTGCACGTGTAAAACTTCATTTCAATTTGTTTTATGCACATGAAATATTCTTGCACAAAGAAAAAAAGACAGATCAATTATTGAAAATAACAAATTAAATATTTTTTTCCTTCCGCGAAAGCCCAAATCATGTTTCTAATCCGGTTATATTTTCAATTTTATTTTAACTTTTTAGGTTAAATTTCAAGGAAAAATCATAATCTTGTACAATCTTGTACTGCAGATTTTTATTTTTACTTATGCAACCTGCCAGACACGCATGTCAAGCAGGTTGCATTTTAAGTCACCTGAAATCTTTTACCAACATTTCCTCCCTTCTTCTCACAGCACTTACGCAAATTTCGCGTGTACACTGTGGTACACTCGCAGAATACAAGTCCCCTGAGAAGCATTTGTCTCCAGGAAAATTGTTTTAATTTTGCAGATGACACTGCTTGAAATACGACCGCGCGAAGATAAAGTGAGAACCACTTTTTACGCTTTTTCCCTCTGAAAATTATAAGCTTTTACTGCGCGCCTTTCGCGAAATATAAATGCTTTTATTTATGGTCCTCTCGCGCTGCAAAGGCATTAAATTACGAATTCATTGCTTGCGGACAAGCGAGCTCGCAGAAAAAGAGAATCTCGTTATCAAAAAAATACCCTGTTGAGCTCTCTGGCGGCTGTTGAATGGCTGCGCGTCTGATTAATGCCAGTCTTTGGGAAAATACACACCTGAGCACTTTTTTGCGGCAACAAAGCAGACAATGTGCTCCTGCTTTCCTCGTTGGCGCAGGATAGAGGAGTTGCTAGCTGGTATGGCTTCTAATGTAAAAAATGATTCCCCCGACGGAGAGACAGACATTGAAAGATGCGTACACGCTGAGCCAGCATGAAAAACGCATCAAAATATGCAAAATTTTAGGGAGGGTGCCAACAGACACTTTAAAAATTCCCATGCTGTTCATCAAATAGGAAAATGTAGAGACACCCCAAGTCTATACTATTTATTTTATTAAATAAAGTGAACAGGAAAGTTGATTTTAAATAAAAATTGTATATTTAAAGATTCTTTAACTTTATACCTATCTATCAAGCTCAGAAAATTACTTGTTTTTTATTTTTTTTTTATTTTTGGATTAGCAATCCTATCAAAATGTACATTAATCTAAATATAACGTTTTAATAAAAATTTAAAAAAATTGGCCTCATTGGTTTGCTATAGTAGGGAGATGAAAAAATTCATACTACAGGCTGTGTGGTGATAAAAGCTTGGAAATCATTTGATATCCATTTTAATAAAATGAACTAAGAGTAACAAAAAATATTCCCAACTAAAATTTAGCCTTGAAAACAAGTAAATTAGTTAATTTCTATCTGAAATTTGTACAAACACAATATACTAAATCAATTAATTGGTCACTACTTAATAATTGCGATTAATGTCTTAATTATGTGCATGTTATATACTTAACATAATATTCCATAGACACTGATTTTGACTCGCATAATTTTAAACAATGAATGAATGATTGATGTAATTGTCCCTGTCAACAGGCTGGCTATCACACAGGCACTTGGGGCGTGGCGGTTGTCTGTTGCGTAACTACGATCTGTGTGTTCGGGATCTCGTCGGGCTTGCGGTATTTCTTCATTCTCTTCCACTCGCCGGTGTTATAATTCATCTGGAAGTGTGTCTCAGCCACCATAGGCACATAAGTATCGTTTTGCATCACATCCTCCTGGTTCTCGCTCAACTTGATGGTTATGATGCTGCCCAGATGAGGGCACGGATTGTCTGCAGACAAAGAAAAAATCATTGTAATTTTAAATCGAATTCACTCATACCTAAAGTCAAGCGCAAATAAATTAAACAATTCAATTTTTTAATTAGAGTATTTAGTCACATGTCATGGAGATTTTATATAAAAATTATTATATTATTTAATATAATAAAATATAATAATATTTTAAAATATTTTGGTGCTTAACTTAAAAAATTTTGTTTTAATATTTTATTGAGATAGAAATAAATTGTAAAATTGTAAGAAATACACGAAAAAGTTATTTTTAGAATTTAAGCAGAATGAACTGCATGCTAATTTTTTTTAATTGTAATTTTTTTTTTATACAAACGGAGAAGAATGTATAATAACTAAATACAAACCTCTTGAACCAGCCATAAATCCCAGGATAAGCGCCTTCTCTGCTCTCGTAATTTTGTTGGCAGTCTTGAACATACTTTGGGCTTCCAGCATTTGCTCTCTCTAAAATTTAAAAACTCTAATTAGATAAGTCCTTTATTTCATTAATTTTCATCTTACTGTAAGGGACAGTCCTTTCTTGACGGGTTGGGCTTGAGCTGCAGGTGCAGCCGCTGCAGGAGCAGGTACGGCTGGAGCCGCCGAAGGCTGGGCAACCACCGGCTGCTGGACTGGCTGTCTGATGACCTGCTGCACGGTGCCCGCCTGGGTCATTTGGATCACATGTGTGGTGGGGCCAGCCACAGTGGTGGTCACGCGGGCCACCGCAGTCTTTGTGGAGACTGGCGTCGAGGGGGCGGCAGGGGTGAGCACCAGCGTCGGCCTTCCGAGCACAGACACTGGCGTCGATAAAATGTAGTTGCTCGGTTTGGGGGTTGCGGGACTCGGCTGCAGCAGGCTCTCTGTTGCAGGGAGAGAAGTACTGGGGGCAACTGGAGCTAGGAAATAATTCATGATTAAAATGAGGTGAATAATACAATAAGTTACACCCATGGATGTGAAAGCTCTGCGAACTTTAAAAACCTCCCATTTGGTTAAAATGACATTAAATTCATGAATATTTTAAAATGTAATTTTGGGCTGATAAAAAGTCAAGCCGCTTCTGGGGTAGACTTACTGGCTGGAACGGGAGTCGCAAAGGTTGCAGGTGGCGCAGGAGTGGCCGGAGCCGAGATTGGCGCAGGGGTTGGAGGATTTGACGGAACAAGACCTGCTGCGTAGTCTGGTGTCGCACTGGCTGCCTTTTCTGCCTCGGCAGCTGCTGCTTTTTTGTTTGCTTCTTCCATCTCTATAATAAGGTATAAAATTCATTAGATTTTTTAACTGAGCTTTGATGAATTTATTAGATTAAGATTGAAATCAAAGTAATTTTATCTTAAAAAGACTGAATTAATTTAACAAATATTATATTTAATTTCCTCGGTGGACTTTTAAAACAAAACGGAGTCTTTTAAAACAAAATTGAACAAACCTTGCATTCTTTTTCTTTTCTTTGCTGCCGCATATCCAAGTGGCTGTTCAGTGATGTCCAGCAGTTTTATACCTCCATCTTTTCTACCAGCAGGTGGTCTGATCATACCAGGTCTAGAAGGCGTGTTCGTTCCTGGAGCACGGAAACCACCAGTTGGCACTCGACTTGGAATTCCCTTCAAGGGGGCTATAAATTGGAAAAAATTATTAAATTATTTTAAAATTAATTTAAAAAGCTACTGGTGTCGGTTAGTTTTCTTGGCATTCCTCTTGATCTGAGTGGAATCGTCATGGCGGTAGTTTTCTTTACATTAGAGGCAGCGTCAACAGACTTCTGCAGTAATTCCGCTCTGAGGGCAGCCGACTTCGGTTTCCGTCTCAGCTGGAAGTGCTTTGTGATCGGAGGCTGTCAAGAAAAATCAATTAGTTAACTGCGTAAAATTATAAAAGTGTGCTATACCAAGTTGCCGATGTAATTATTCAAAACGGCTTTATTCAGGTAATGACACTCCAAGGGCAGCATTCCGGTGTCTGTTTGTTTTTTGACTGGAAGAATTCAGTGAAAATGAAGATTGTGTTTTTGCTGACGTGAAACAGGAAAAATACCAAGTTTTTTCAAGTCGTTGATTAAATCTGAAAAAATTCTCTTGTTTTCCTCGACTTCTCCGATGTCCGTGTTCAGAGTGCCATTTGACGGGAATGTCTTCATAAGTTCAGCCAGCATGGATACCCACTGCTCTGTGTCCATCTGGGCCACTTCAATGATTTCGTCCAGCTCCGTCCGCCACTGCAATTAGCAAATAAATCAACATTCAAGTTATTTGTTTACAATTTTCAGACACACCTCCTCAATGTTTCTGCGGGGAATGTGGAAGAACGAGAGCAAAAGTTTCAGCTTCACTTGGGTCTGCAAATCCGGAAAGCACTCCTTGATGTTGCGCAGGACTTCACAGTTCAGTTGAGAGCATATTGAACCGCCTGTCCACGAGTCGTTGGAAGTCCCGAGTTTGTTGTGAAGCCACAGCGAAGTATCACTGTCCCGCACGGTCGCCATTACTGAAATCCAGTGGGCAGCAAGTTGAGTGACGTCATGGCAGCAGCCATCGCAAATCTACTGCGCAGCTGCAAGTAGTGCAAGTTATAAAAAATGGCGCGAGTGACGTATGAAATTTGCACAAACCTCTTCGGAAGAAGCGAAGCACTTTTGAAAACCTCTCAGCATCCCAGCTGAAAGGCCTGAGGGGGAATGTCAAAACAAGAGGACGACGTCTCCTCTTATCACCATTCTTTGTTTTTGTCCACATTTTCAACCGAACCGACGTCCTGATTTAATCGAAATGGAAGTTTTGTGATCCAATATTGCTTTCGCAGCGATCCGAGCCGCTTCAACAACGCCGAATTTCGGCTTGGCCTTGGTAGCGTACATTACATAAGTCATGGCCGCCAACTCGTCAAGTGCAGGGCCGATCGACGACGTTGTTTTGCTGAACGCGTTTTTCGTCAAAGGCAAACGATGTCGCGTGTACCTGCACAGAGGTGTCCTCGTCTGGGAAACGGAGCGTCGTCCATACAGTAAATTTTCCTAGCTTTTATACATTTTTTCCCAACGTTATTGAATTGGAAATTTTATTAATTATATTTTTCGCACTTCCGCAGAGAGAACCTGTGTATTGTTATCCGATGTCCTTGCCGTCCATCCTGTGCATCAAAACGTGACTGACTCAGCAAGGCCTTGTTGTGGCGAAAATGAATGCAAAGAGCCACTCAGTCCAGCGATGCACCTTGCTTTTACGATCCATTACACGGAAGTGTGCTCCAAGAATCGCCTGAGGCATCGGCTTGTCACCTTGAAACATTCCGACCCCAGACAAGTGTCCGCCTGGATCAAAACACTCGATGGATACCTCAAAAGTATTGAATTTAAATCTGCGTAATTTTTATTTAAATAATATAATAAAATTTTTGCTGAAGGTTTGTCGAATCGCCCAAAGAAGTTGCTGGTTTTCGTCAACCCGTACGGGGGCAAAAAGCGAGGATTGCAAATTTTCAAGAAGCAGATGGAGCCTCTGCTGCAAATCGCTGGGGTGGCGTGCACCATGGTACTGACCGAGGCGCCCAACCACGCCTTCAACATGCTCGTCTCTGTGCCCAACTTGGTGCAGACTTACGATGGCATCGCCTGCGTTGGAGGTGACGGCACCTTTTCGGAGGTGATGAATGGGCTTGTCACTCGAACGTGCATGGACCTGGGCGTTGACTTCAAGAACAACCCTGACGTCGAGCCACCGCACCCCAAAGTAGCCATAGGGGTTGTTCCTGGCGGCAGCACTGACACTGTGGCATACTGCATGCACGGCACAAACGACGTCCAGACAGCCGTCCTGCACATCATCCTTGGTATAATTATTTTTAACTTTTGAACGCTTTTTTTAATTTGTGAAATATAAACATCAAAAATAATATTTATATATACCATAATATTGATGATAAAATATTTATTTCATAAAATTGGTTTTCTCCTATTAATAATTTTATTTTATTTTACAAGTGCTGTCCTTTTTAATAGTTGAATTTACAAACAGGTGGTCAAAGAGGAATGGACTTATGCAGTCTGCGCAATAACGAAAAACTCCTTCGATACACAGCCAGTGTAATTTCATATGGCTACCTGGGTGATGTCATGAAGGACAGTGAAAATCACCGATGGATGGGGCCAAAGAGATATGACTATTCAGGTGAGATTGCAATAATTTTTATCAGAATTGCCATGTTATTTGAATACTTATTTTTAATTTGATCGCTGAAAACTTTGCACTTTGCACCTATTCTTTATCATACCATTGTCCTAACTCTGAGAGTATGATATAAAATTAATATTTTCTAGGGTTTAAGAAGTTTTTTGCAAATCGAGGATATGAGGGTGAGCTAAAGATTAGACAGAAAACATTTCACGGCCACCACAGCGACGTCACCAAGGGTCCCAAGTGCCAAATCCACTGCCATGAATGCTCACTAAACAATGACAATAATCACGGCTCTAATGGAGCGAAAGGTAGGTTGAAATAAATCAAACATATTCAAATAAAGATTTTAAATTATTTTTGCCGCAGATGAGTGGAAAACAGTCAGTGGAAAATTCTTCATGGTGAACTGTGCCAATTTAAGCTGCTCGTGTCCCCGCAGTCCGAACGGAATTGCTCCCTTTTGCCATGTTGGCAATGGTTGTGCAGACATAGTGCTCGTCAAACACACCAACCTCTTTAATAATCTAAGACTCCTTCTAAGACTTACCAGCTCAACTAAAACCTTGGTTAGAATTTTGCTATTTTTGTTGATCGAAATTTAATTTATTGATATTGTAGTACGATTTGCCCTTTGTCGAGGCGCTCAGGGCGCAGGAATTCTGCTTCACTGCAGCCAGAGGAAAGAAAACTAGCAACTGGAACTGTGATGGCGAATTGGTGTTTTGCGCTGATATGAAAGTCAAGTGAGTTTTGCTCAGCTAATCCTTTAGAACTTGTTTTTTAAACAACAATTTTTCATCAGGGTGCATCGTCAATTGGTGAAGATTTTCACCAACAGCGTTGAGAGCTCAAGACGGTCAACATTCGGAACTGCTCCGTCCAGCAATTGCTGGTGCTGAGTCTGTCAATTGCATTTTGCTTGTGAGAAGTATTTCGTGACATTTCGACGGTAGCATTTTATCTCTTAAAGAACAAACAATTTTCTTAGTATTGTTGGCCATTAGTTTGCTTTTTTATTATTAGTATTAATTGTTTCAAAGAGCTTTAATTTACGCCTTTACCTGATATTTTCTTAAGAAATTCCTATATTTTTGCCATTGTATCAAATTAATGCCTTTTACAACTGAGTTATATTGTGATAGAGTTTGTGCTTTTAATTTCCTTACTAGCCATTAAAATTTACACTATTTATTTTCTTATAGAAATAACAATAGATAGAAATAATTAAAATTGTATTTGAAAAAACTAACCCTTCAAAGGGAGACTGTGATCTTTGGTAGACAGTTTAAAACATAGCATTTCAACTTGTATTTTACTATATGTGTTAAAAAATAATTTTGGAAAAAAACATTCCATTTATATGTTTAAAAAATGTTCAAATGAAGTGTTTCATTGAAAAAAAAAATCAAAATTTTACCTTCATGGAGTTCTTATATATATAAAATAATAATATAATTATACATATTATATTATTTTTTGTTTATAATAACTAAGGACTCGGCAAGATTTGCAAGATACATATATAATTATGAAACAAATTTAATGAGCATCAACAGATATCCATGAGCAACTAACAAGGACTGCAAGCATAATGAAAATTTTCAGAATTATTTAAAAATAACAAATTGGTCATATTTAAAATTAACATATTTCCTTCTTTTTCTTTTTTTTTTAGAAAAATTGATATTCATCGAGAGTATCAGGATCATTTTCAAAACAGCCTTCTGTTTGCCACTTGGTGTATCTCTTGAAGCTTGAAATCCAGTTGATAAATGTTGCAAATTTTAAAAATACAAAAATAATTTAATTGCATGTTAGAAAAATTATTAAATATTAATTAATTTTTTCGATTTCAAAACATCATTTAAATGTACAATTTACTGTTAAAAAGGAACTTGACACCCGGCCCTATTTTTGCAGATATTATCGGATATTATATGACAGATCATAAATTAGCGATTATAGAAAAATTATATGTCGCGTGGGCCGTGGAGTTCTGGTCCCGGATTTCATTATAAATTTTGTTCCAAGGCCGAACAACTCGTGTAAATTTAAATTCGGCAAATTTTTGCTTTGTAGTCAATCTCAAATAACATTCCAGCATGCTGTCACTTATTAATTTTGCAGATTCCCGCCGCTGATGTATTAGTGGATTGTAATTTGACTGGCTACCGTTAGGTGGTGAGTAAGTTGAGTATGTAGTAGCAAGAGAAATAAACAGAAGCACGCCCACAACGCAAAAGTTGTGTACTTAAACTTGACCCTTGACCTGCGAATTTCTTATATCAGCAAGTCATGTATGTACAAAAATATATTCTATATTGATATTCGTTGATTTTGAGAAGTTTTAAATTTTCCAACAATTATGTATTGTATTTGTGTGTTTGAGGGATTTTTAATTTTTTTTTTTTTTAATTTCGATTGTTTCCCAACAATAAGAAAAATAAAAACCGTTGAGATTGGATGCAACAAAGTAAAGGTTTGACGAGAAGCAGATCGAAGATTCAAAATTCAAAATCGCTTCGCTCAAAACTTGCATAAAATTAACCTAGATGCATCCAATCCAAATTAATAATGTAAGTACTTATTACATAATTCGAAATTCCTGCAGCTTTAATAATTCTGAGGTTAATTTCAATATTTCTAGGGACAAAAACACTCCATCCACGGCCACCATGTCAACTTCTGATGGAGAAATTGCACCTGTCTCCATCGCGATGGAATCGGAGGAGGCTGAAGAACTGCCTCAAGAAAATGGTGTTCAGTCAACCCCATCGACGGCCACCGTTTCCACCATTGATGGAGAAGCCGAAACTGCACCTGTCTCCGACGCGATGGAATCCGAGGAGGCTGAACAACTGCCTTAAGAAAATGGTGTGCAGTCATCTCCATCCACGGCCACCGTGTCAACATCTGATGGCAACAAGCCCTCCTGTTTCTGGCCAGACAGACGTCGAGGAAAAGGTGCAGGAAATGAGCCGGCCCATGAGAATGGCGGACTTGAGTCTCCTTCATCGGCCAACCTTTCTACGTCTGATGGGAACAGCCCTCCTGTTTTTGGCCACATAGACTCCGAGGAAGATGGACATGCATGGGCTGGCCCATGAAAATTGCGGAGTTCAGTCTCCATCTTTGGCCAACCTCATCTCGACGTAAGTACATATTAATTCAAAATTCCTATAGCGCTTTAATAATTCTGCGGTTGATTTCAATCTTTCTAGGGAAAAATCTCCATCCTCAGCCACCGACACTGCCAAAATTCCATTTGTGTCTGACCACTTTGAGGAAGATGGACATCAGCCCACCCATGAAAATGGCAGCGTTCAGTCTCAGTCTTTGGCGAACCTTTAGAGGTAAGTACATTTTAATAAAAAATTTCTGCAGCACTTTAATAATTCTGCGGTTGATTTCAATCTTTCTAGGGACAACTCTCCATCCTCAGCCACCCTCGATACATCTGATGACGAAATTCCACACCAGATAGACTCCGAGGAAGCCTGATATCGCTTCGTGAAAATGGAATTCTGTCTCCATTCACGGCCACCCTGTCAACATCTGATGGCGAAACTAAGTTGTTATATTTTTATGGTTTTTCTGTATCAATGTTAACTTATTTATAAAAAAAAGCAGATGCCAGGATTAAAGAAATTTTTGGGTACAAAAGACAATATACTCCATTTAATTATGTTTTTTACTAGCTGTGATGGATTTTGTCATGTAATATTCAAAGATTCAAAGTTTTTGATCGTTTCTAATAAAAATCGCCTGCAAACCGAGAAGGACAGAATAGCCTTTGTTCTAAATTTCTCCCTGCTCCACCCTTAAGTGCTAAGCTATCTGTCTAGACTTTTCTTTCCTTAAGAAAAAAAATTAAAAAAAAATTTGAAAATTTTTTTGATTAATTTAATTTTTGCCCAATCCTTAAAAATTGCCAAATTAGAATATTCTTTGTTACAAGAATAACATTTAAATACTATTTTATTATTAAATATTTTTTAAAGCATTTTTTTAAATTTTTTTGATTTTTTTATCAAATAAACTTTATCATATATTGCATCAGGACCTGATCAGGACATTGTATAACACAGTCATAATCATAATAAATTAAATGCACATTATTTGCTTCAAAACTTTTCATTAACATGTAAAGTTGAGCCATGGACCATGGAATATAAGGATATTATAAGAAATGTGAAATTTTTTACGATTTTTTCCGATTTTTTCTTCGCCTTATTTCATTGTGTGCGCGCCTGTGACCGACATGTATTATAGCACCTCGCCCCAATGCGCCTGCGTGGTACACGTGGGTTCCGTCAAAATCAGATGTCTATGGATATTAGAAGGTGGATTAGACAACAATCAGTTTTGGGCGTGTCTCAAATTTCTGTGCCGTGACGTCACAGTGAATCAACCAATCAGAGCCCAACAATCGAAAAAAGTGCAAATTGTAGACTGCAATTTGGTTGATCGCGACTTTGGTCACGTTAGATGGGCAAAATTTAATGAAAAATAATTTTAAAGAAGTAAAAATTTGCAAAATAAAACTTAAAGAGTTGCTTGATACGACCTTTTGATTAAAAATATTTAATTTGCACGGACACCTGAGATATAAAAGGGTTTGCTAGGAGTAGTGCCATTGGAAAAATAATTATTTTAGAAAAACAAACCTTATGGAAAAGTTGTAGCCAAAGACATGTTCTTTCTTTTCTCAATTGTAAAAAAGGCGTTGAAAATTTTTTTAAGTACCGAAAAATTGGAATAAAATAAAAAATTGTAATTTTCTACAAGAAAGAATTTTTTTAGATTTTTTCTGAGATAGCCAATCGATTCAGCATGTATTCATTAGTCTATGACTAAATTTTCATACAAAAATTCGCAGCCGTTACGAAATAACAGCTTAAACTCCAATGACACCTCTTTGGCTCTAAACATAAACACGGCCCGTTGAAGTATTTTAATTCTTATTTCATAACGGCTGCGAATTTTTGTATGAAAATTTAGTCATAGACTAATGAATACATGCTGAATCGATTGGCTATCTCAGAAAAAATCTAAAAAAATTCTTTCTTGTAGAAAATTACAATTTTTTATTTTATTCCAATTTTTCGGTACTTAAAAAAATTTTCAACGCCTTTTTTACAATTGAGAAAAGAAAGAACATGTCTTTGGCTACAACTTTTCCATAAGGTTTGTTTTTCTAAAATAATTATTTTTCCAATGGCACTACTCCTAGCAAACCCTTTTATATCTCAGGTGTCCGTGCAAATTAAATATTTTTAATCAAAGGGTCGTATCAAGCAACTCTTTAAGTTTTATTTTGCAAATTTTTACTTCTTTAAAATTATTTTTCATTAAATTTTGCCCATCTAACGTGACCAAAGTCGCGATCAACCAAATTGCAGTCTACAATTTGCACTTTTCTCGATTGTTGGGCTCTGATTGGTTGATTTACTGTGACGTCACGGCACAGAAATTTGAGACACGCCCAAAACTGATTGTTGTCTAATCCACCTTCTAATATCCATACAGATGTCGAGAGGAAAACAAAGTTTTTTCTTGAGAGTTTCGCATGAATTTTCACATTTAGTACTCTAGAAAAATACGCAGAAATGGCCAGCAACGATGATGACAACTTTGGTGCTAAGTTTGAATTCCAAGGTTTGATAATATTTGGCATATTTTGGTATTTTCCCAAATTCAAACTTATATTTTTACGGTTTTTATAAATAGTGATGAATACATATTATATTTATTTGATCAATTCGACGTCACTAAATTTTTTTTTAATTATATATCAATATGAGCTCAATCAGGTAATAATAATCGATGAGAAGTGGTTCATTTTACCTTAATAAGCATCTAGAAAACCTATAGTCACGCTCTCAAAATCAATTTTAAGTGTATTAAAATTTTATTTTGCACAATTTAGATTTCATTCATACGACACCGCAGACAAATGTCGCAGAATTGGACGTTGTAACATCGGTGAAGGAAAAAACCGCAGGCCCATCGACCAATAACTATCAGGATGGCGCAGGAAGTGCCACGGAAGACCAGAACACAGCTCAGGCCGGCCCTTCTTTCTGGTCGTTTGACTATTACAAACAATTCTTTGACGTCAACACAAAACAGATTTCGGACAGGGTTGTTTACTCCATGGTACCCCGTTCCGGTCAAAATTACTTGGAGACCTTCATTAAACCAAAAGCAGACCTTTACGGTATTGATAATTTTAAGTTATCTTTCCATTCTATTATTTAATTTCTTCTCCGGACATACAGGCCCGTTTTGGATTTGCATAACTTTGGTGTTCACCATTGCTGTGAGCCGTAACATGGTTTCCTATCTGCAGTACGAGGATAAAAATTACCACTGGAAGTACCAGTTCCACACAGGCAAGATTAAGGACCTTCATCAAAAAAGGTGATTTATATAATAATGTGTTTATTTTTCCAGTCTCGTACGCTGCCACTGCAATATTTCTGTACTCGTGGCTGCTGCCCTTGTTAGTCTGGGCCAGCATGTGGTGGCAGGGTGGCCAGAATAGGATCAGCCTTTTGGAAACTCTCTGTGTGTACGGCTACTCTTTGGCCATTTTCATTCCAACTTCGGTAATTTAAATATTTGAAGACGAAAAACAGTATTGTTAATTTCTATTGAATATTGAAGGTCCTCTGGGTCATTCAGGTTGGCTGGCTGCAGTGGATACTTTTGGGTGTTGCAGTCGGTCTGTCCGGCACTGTGCTGCTCTCCAGCATTTGGCCGGCTGCCCAAGATGCCAGCAGAGCACTTGCTTTTCCTCTCACAATTATTGTGCTGGGTCTGCATGTCGTTATGGCCGTCAGTTTCATGGTGAGCCTTGCTAAGTGATATTATGCAACTAACACATTTCTTTTTACATTATTAACTCGTAATGCCATAAAATTAGGAATAATTTAATTCCTTCTCTATCAATCTGATTTAACTTTAGATTTTCTTCTTCCACACTACAACCACTAGTGATTTCTCACCAACTACTGCAACTTCTACTACCACCACGGTGCTTGAGGCTGTCTCGAAAATTGTCTTAAATGCAACCAAAACCAAGAACTGATCTTTCTTTGTAGTTGTTTCTTTGAAAGCATGCATTTGGACTTTGTTATGCTGAGGATTTTTGTGATTTATGTACCGGTAGGATAATAAAATATGATGACTTTGAAAGATGTAATAACAATTATTTATTTTCTGCAAGGGTCTAACATGGTAAGATTTTTCTGAAAATGAGCTACAAAGATTTGTTAATTGTGTATAATAATTAAATGTTTAATAGCAATAGCACAATATCTTTCAGTAAGACAAACGTTATCAATATATTATTTGAATTTTCTTTCTACCAATTTTGTTCAACACTAATTGACTACTTTAAGTAACACAATTCTTTTGACCAATTAATTGATTAATATTACAGCAGTGGTGCTTGCACCAATTTTTATAATTACAAGTAGAAGCAAAAATCACAAAGTAATTAAAATTCAATAATAAGAGGTATAACAATCACAATTACTATGAAATATTAAAAGCAGATAAATCAATAATATTTAATATGACCAGAAAATAATTACTTTGAAATAATGTGTTAAAAACATTCGATGGTTTAAAAAGTACTCAGAAGTGAGCAAGTTTTGTGCTCTGTATATATCAGTACTGCAGCAAGACATTGCGAGTTTTATTTTCTGCGAGACTTCGTTTGAGAGCAGACAGTGGTGCCAAAAACCAAGCTGCCAATAATCTAAAAATCTTAAAATTCAACATCAAGCAGCTCCATTGACTTGATTATCTTATGGAAATAATTATGCGTGGAAGAGTTCCAAAGGGAAACTGACAGGGGAAGCTCTATGTTTCGCTGGATCCGAAAGTACCTGCCGGAGGTCTGTATTGTTTTGGGAAAGTGAGGAGTTGAAGAGTATTAAAGGCGTACTTGCTGACACCGATGTTCTTGCGCGTGTTTTCCATCCGGCAGCCCTCACTGCGCATGCAGTCGAGTGCTCGTTGAACCTCATTGTCGGAGAGATTGTACTCGGCCACCAGGATGTTGCACTGCTCCAACGTAGCGGCCATTCCGGTGCGATCTTTGGCACTTTTGCAACTTGTGAATCTAAATAAGGGAAAAAATTGGTTCAAAGACTGAAAAAACTACTGTTGAATTACCGAAGTCCATTCATTGATCGACAAATTGCTGATGCTAAATGCAAGACTTCTACATTTTTCGACTTTTTGCTGTGCACTGCAACTTTTAGGCCTTCCACCAGATTTGCAAGGGGTGGTGCTCCGTAACTGGCACTTCGTCCTGAGCAAATTGGGTTTGGTAATTAAATTTCATGACATTATGGTACTTACGAAAGCTGTTTTCACCGTGGATTGGGAGACTTAAATCGCTGATCTTTTTGTATCGGTTGTAGTAGTCATTGAGACGTTCAAAGTTGTCAATGTTGCTTTTTTCCTGAGGCTTAGTTTTGCCTAGTCCTTCAGCAAGTGTTGCTTTCTCGTTGATGCCAATGTTGAAAAATACAGGCGTCACATGGAATGATCGGTTTCCACCAGCTTAAATAATTAAAAAAAATAAATACATAATAAATAAATAATTTTCAATAAGACAAACCAGGAGGTGGAGGCAGCAGGGACATAACAACTTCAGGAACTGGCAATATTACACTCAAAGCAGCTCGACACCCTGTAACTCTGGGGATAAGGTTGGGTTTGGTCTCTTGAGAACCTTGGCTTGAAGGTTTCTCAGTGCTCGCATGTGCCAAAGTGAATGTAACCTGGAGATTTATAAATTATTTTAAGAAATGTTTAATTTTTCAAACTTACGGTGCAAAGATCTTCCACGGCAACTACCATATCACCCCACATGGCAATTTCATCTCCGTGATAACTCAGCAAAGTTTCAAACTCTACCAGAGGGCCTAATGTGCTCAAGACTAGCAGGAATCTTGGGTCAGGTTTGGCACACCACAACTTGGCCATGAGACCCGACACCAAAGACGTCAGCTGAGTAGACAGAGTTTGAGATTTTATTTTTTTTTTTCATTTGCAATAAATTTACCGCTTGCGAAAAACAAATATCTCTGCGGTATTGGATGCTGCACGCTTTCATAGCTGCCCGTGAGTCCTGCTGGACGCGCAGCACGCTGTGGGTCAAGCGAGCAGTCTTCAGCAGACCGTCCATTGCTTGCCGGAGCTTCCGCATAGGCGGTCTCAACTCTGCCGCCCAATCGACCATCGCAGAAAAGTCCAGGCCATCCGTAAACTTATTTATGCGTTTAACATTTCTAAAAATAATATAACCAATAAATAAACGCCAAGGAAAATACTTAATTTTACTCACCCATCACAATCTTTAGAAACGTCCGAAGAACTGGAATGTGTTGACATTTTTCTAGAATTTTGTGCCCTAAGTCTCACAGCCGGACTGCCCACTCGTCCACACAGAAACTTTACTTTGGAAACCAAACACATCATTGAGGCCTCGATGTTGAGTTGAGTCAGGTCCCAAGGCTCTGGCTCATCCGTTGGCTTGTAATAATTGGCGGTGGGTGAATTGCACATTGCCTGAGTGTCTGCAAACATTTCAGAGTCTTACATGGAAGTTTTTAAAAGCAACCCTAATAATACCAAGGAACTGTCTTGATATTGATTCCGGACCACTATCAGGAGGCAAAATCTGCTTGATTTCCTCGTCAAGTTTTTCTGAGTCAGTATTGAAGTCATTCCGGATGACAATGTCAACAACGCTGGTCTCTTTGTCCTTTTCATTTTCGGCAACGGGCGAAACCTCGTCATTCAGACTGCTCTTGTTGCTTTCGTCTTGATCAAGGATTTTTATAACCGTCTCTTCAGTTTCACAGAGCAGCGGAATTTCCTGGAAGCTGCTCGTATCCACAATCAAGGACTCTCCAACGTGGACAATCTCAGCAGTGAGGGTGTCACCATCATCAGTTGTCCAACAATTGACTAAAAATTGTCATCAGCATAGTTTTATAAAAATAATATTATATAAAAAACTCACTCAATCGAAGCCTCTCATCAACAGGAGTGCTTAAGTCGGGGCTGAGCAGTTCATCTTCTGGGAGTGGTTTGAAATTCAAAAGCTGTTGTGTGATTCGCCGATACGGAGTCAAGACGTCAGCTTTATCACACTCAAGAGTAGAGCTAACTTTAAACTCCTCCAAAAAACTCATGGCCTCCTCAACTAGACTGGTATCCCACAAACTAAGAAGAATTTTAGTCTAAGTAAAAGATAAAATTAGCTCCAGTAATTAACATGAGAAAACAATACAACCTTCTTAATCATTTCCTCACAAAGTGGTAGCATTCCCTGTGTTTGTTTCTCCTTGGCCAGTTTCATCAAACTCCTCATACTTTCAACAACTTCTCTGCGGAGCTGCTTGATTGCTTGCACTGTATCATGAGCCATAGAAATCTTGCTTGGCCCTTGATTATCTTCATTTATGTTGGGATCCGACTCCTTCATTTGTTGCAGCAGCCTGGAGTTACAAAATAATTAGCCTGTTAGTTATTATCTACAAAAGATGAAGTATTACCTGAGGAGCCCGCCAGCTTTGCACTTGTTGGCATGACTTGTAAAAGCACCTACAGTTATGACATCATAAAGCCCTTTACGTCGTAGAGTATCGTTTTGCACCCACATCCTCTGCAGATGTAAGTTGATTGGCACAAATTCAAGAGAGCGATCGTCCTTTTGACAGCTGGGTTTAAAATTACGATCTAGAAAAGTTTTGAAAAAACAGGTGAAGAAAGCGCCAAAATTTTCACAAACCTTTATTGTTTTGGAGATTTTGCTTTGCTTGCGAATACATGTGAAGTAAATGAAGGTGCCTATCCAAGAGCTGAATTTGCTTCGAGTGCCAAGGCTCGCGCAACTCTCCCATCCCAGCCACTTCTTGCAATAGCTCTTTCTCATCGTTGATCCAAAGTTGCCTGAAATTTAAAAACTAAATAAAGCAAATCTTAAAAAGTATTTAGGTTTACAGTAGCTGTTGAGGGAATGTGAATGACATCCTTGACTCTGCCATTGTTTCATGTACGCAAATGTCACCTCCGAGACCCGAATGAAACCTGTATGTGCGAATGAAGGGCGAAGTGTAGATTTTGTTCAACTCGCCCTGCTGGGGAAGACTCAGTTTGGTGCCCAGTCTTGACGGCAAAGAATATGATCGTCGATGTGAGTAAACCTAATTTAACAATTTCATACACATGTTCTGGAATAATTTGTCTAAATTTACCGCCGGATCCTGTTTCAAAGGACTTTTGCAGGGAGTTGACTCTGTGCTTGAATGGTTGCTTTCCACTTTAAGAGTCCACGAACTGGCAGTCACAAAACCCGTTGTGTATGCTTCAATATTGGGTGTAATTGATTTCAATGCAAGTCTGCAATTTAAATTATTGTTAAGTATAGTTCTGAGCGTTCTGAGAAATCAGGCTAGGTGTGGTGTTACAACCAAATAACAAAAGATTTTAACTTTTCTTAAAATCTGTTAAAATCGTGAAATCAGGGACTTAAAAGTTAAATCAACTCCAAATGGAGCACACAAATTATTTCGGTTTGTAAAATTATAATTTAAAAATCAAATGGGCTCTCCAAAAATAAAAAAATAAAAGATTTAAATAAATTACCTAACACTGCAGCCAGATTCATCCTGAATCAATTGCTTAAGCTGCAACTCTGCCCTGCCCAGCAAAGTGGCAACCTGTGATATGGGCTCTCTCACATTGTAAAGGGATATGCGCAGTTTTGATTCTTTCACCAGGCCGTCACTGGCCCGCAAAGCCACCGTGTGCAAAAAGTTAGGGTTGCTATTACACTACAAGAGGTGTAAGTTTACTGCGCCTATTATTAACTGAAGTGTACCTTTATAACTTCAGTCCTTCCATACTGAACCCAACGCCCTTCAAACGGCATGAAGACGTGCAGACTAAGCATCGGGTTGGGTGGTTTTCCGTGGCCATCACATAACAGATTGTCACAGGAGAATGAAACCTCACACAATGGAGCCTCGCAAGGATCTGAATCATTTCATTAGTGGATGAATAAAGTCAATTCAAATAATCTACCTATCAATCTCCCACGTCGAGCTCTCCACGTATTGACGTCAAGTTCGATTTCACGTCCACCATATCGAAGGTCCAATTCTTGTTTCATTGCTGTGATCTGAGAGAAAAATTTCTTCATTTTATTTAGGTAATAAATAATGAAGGGAGTAGTCAAGTTTAAGAATAACTTGATATTGCTTCACAAGTTATTTCCTTTTTGTGGTTTAATTACTTCCTTTATAAAAATAAACATGACAACATAATCTCAACATTGCTCAACATTAAGTAAGACAATGATAAAAATCCCTCAACATCAATGGCAACAAATAAACTAATTCCTTTAATAATTTTTTTTTAATTACTTGAGCTCTGATGGTTTCATATCCAGCAATCTGAAGTGCAGCTACCCAACGATCTCGCTCCTCTACACTCAATGCTGCCAAGTGCTGACTCACACCTCCCTCAAAAACTGGAACAAAATTTGCAAATGAAATATCTTTGAAAGATATTATGCTATCCTTTGTACCAAGTGCAAATCCGTATGAGCCGTCGTTCATAGTTGCTGGCTCGAGTTTGATAGAGCAGCCCTCGACTAAGATGACGCCGGCTGGTTCCGACCACTGCTCTCGAGATTTGAAGTAGAACAACATGTTGCCCCTGAGACGACACCATCGCTCACTGCTGACTGCACGCGGAAAAAAATTAATTACACGAGCTTTACCAATTTAAAAAATTATTGTTTGCAAAAAAAATGTGCTATTGTTAGTTAGGTATAAATAATTTTGATAATTTGTTTATCTCAAAGATTTTATTTTATTAATTTATAGAATTAGTAAATTATTTGGGTGATATAACTGAAAGAGGTGCACACATAATGTCTGAATGTATGGAAATTCACAACAACAAAATTGCACTATAACGTTCTATTTATCATAACTTTAAAATTTGGATCCGTAAAAAACTCGCTCTTTCAACCAAATTTTTTAAAGAGCATTTTAAAATGATTAACAAAGACTGTAATTTTTACTTTCTTATTAAAAGTATATATGTATTTTATTTTTTTCAATGGATTTTTTAAATATAGTGACATAGAGACTCAATCGATCAACTGTTGGTTTTTATGTTTGCTCTAGATTGCATTTTATTTGCTTTCTTTAGACTCTTTTTGTTTTGTGATTTCAAAAACTTGTTAGTTTCTAAAAATATCTGCAAGTGGAGTGACAATATTAGATGAAGCAACACCTTGAACCTATTAATATTCAAGCTACGAAAGAACATACAATATGAAGACGTGCACCATCATAATTTATCATGCAGTGAAACTGATTTCCATTTCCACCTTGCACAGAAAACCTCTATCATCTACCAAAAGAGAGTTTATCTCTGGAAAAAATACCTCGTTTGGTAGATCCAACACAAATCAGCTTGCTAGATGAATTCCTACTTCTTTGCTTTACTTTTAAGTTGTCTTTACCTTGAATGATGTTTTAATAGGTCAGTCTGGGGTAACATTTTTATATTTTATTGTTGGTTAAAATTATTTTACATGATCTTTACCACAACTAGGGGACACAAAGATTACATGCACAAACTCATGGACAGTTAGATTGGAATATATGAATAGAATAAAAAATGCACATACATTTATGAGAATTTGAATATCGACAAGGACGAAAACCACAGAATATTATTCAACTCACAGAAACACCACACAATTAGTTTGAATGCTTCCTTCTCTGCCAGCACACAATTTATCATATATATTTCTGTTGATATTCCTGTTTCTCTCCAAAAGTAGGCTTTTTACATGCCATTTTGATGCACAAGAGAAATTCAAAATTTATAAAATTCTAAAATTCATGCTGCTGAATTATTTCAAAACTTTTTCATGCTTATGTAACATGGAGGAAAAGTAGAAAAGTATCAATTCATATTTAAATCTTTTAAAATCTTGTCCCAATATCCAAATCAATAAAAAACTTACTCTCAGTTCGTTTGAAAAAACCATCCTGGCGCTCTTTCAGCAGCAGCACCCCTTCCTTGTCAAAGTTTTGCGATGGTTGTTTGGCAAAACTGAACATTTCCTGCTTGTTCAACCGCATCTCATTTAATCTGAAAATGGTGAAAAGTCAATAATCAGAACATCAGGGTGGGCGGCCGTGTGAAAGTAAGAAGGTTCACGAACTTAAAAATATTCGTAGCTCGCCTTTGGGGCCTCGTAAAGTCACTCGCAATTCTTAGACGGCGACATAAGAAATATACCTCTCTTTTGAGCAGAAAAAAGATAAAAAAGACTTACGAAACGCGGCTTGTCCTTAGCAGAAGAAAATGTATCGCCTAAAGCGCCGAATTGGCCGCAAATTCGACTTTGACGTTGGCCTAGTCGTCCGAGTGTGCCATGTTTGTATTATTTTCTTGCCATCGGTGAAGAGGGCGTGGCAAGTTCTTGCAGCAAGTCAAAGGATTTTGGCGATAATGCGCGGGAAAAACACTTGTACACTGCACTTTTTACAATTTTCCAATGAATTTTTCCATTCTTTTTATCACGAGTGGAAAAAATTACTGAGATTTAATAAAAGAGAAGAAAAAACTCTGGTTTAGTTTTATGTATAACAAACAAATTTTATTTTGTATTGTGGTGTAGCTTATTTCAGTGAAATTACAATTTTTGCTTCATTTATTACAGACGTGTTATTTTTTGCGACATATATAATGCAGCAGCTTAGAGTAGCAAATTTGCACATCACTTCTTTTAGATGCAGTACAAAATACCCAAAAACTATTCGCTCGGATCCATGATCAATCTCAAAAACCGATAAGCCACACAGTTACTGCTTTTTCATTTTAACCCCGGAGGCCAATCTCGATTCTCGCCTGTTGTCTTACGAATTATAGTTTGAGAGGATAGCGCGCAGTTCACAATTAATTTTTGTATATTTATGGTAATGATTGTAGAAAAGTTGTAGTTTTTGGCACATAAGCAGCAGTTATTTTTAACAAGTGACGTTTTTTCATTGCGTTTTTATGCAGATTTGTGGGACAACATCTATTCAAGAGGGGAAGAGAAATATTTCCTTGCAAGAGCAATCTTAAAATTTTCATGGTTAGATCATTTGAAATTTTTAAACATTTGACGTTAACTTCAAACGTCATTTTGATTTTGAATATCATAATGCAGGGATGAGAAATGCGATCAAGGGAGGAATGACTGAAGATTTGAAACATAATTTTAAAGGTTGATTCAGGGTTGATTAAAAAAACTATCAGAGTGCATGCACTTGTGAGAAATTCAGAGATGTGCATTGTAATTTTTACGGAGTTTAAAAATAATAAGATTCTAACAAAAATGTATTAAAAAAGGTTTTAGTCTGTTTTCACCTCAGATTAAAATAAGAACCATTCAGAAAAGAAGTTAGTTATTACTTTTCAACTTTTGTGCTCTCACAGCATATTGACAGTATACTGTATGTACTTTAATATCTACCATACAATATGTTGATAAAGTTCTAAGAGATTTCAACTTTTCCGACACATAAAAATTGGTGCTACTTTTTCTGTTAAAATGCTTGCGTTTTCCTTTAATACCAAACAAGTGATTCAAACGTGTTCTCACACAAGGAAGCACTAACAGTACTAAAGAGATTCAGACATTAGGTTAAAAAGCTGGTTACAAGAGATAAGGAGTTTTATAACTCATAAGCATCAGTTGAAATAAATAACTCTTGGGCACTACAGGTATTAACAAAAACCTCAATCAAATATAATGCTTTACCAGATAAAAATGACTCGATTGTATAATAACAAATTAATATACAACTTCATACTTGTATTATTTATGTACATAAGTATTAAAATCTTGAAATTCATGATGTAACAGTATAAAGTTTTGCCTCTTTAAATTATTAGTCTCTTATAAATAATTCAATTTGATTTATCCATTACGCATAAAGCCCAAGACGGTGTATCTTGGCTGACAAGAAGTTGTGAAGTTTGAAGACCAGAGGTTTTGGGCAACTCTCCATATCCAATTCCTGTTTGGCATGAGCAAATGAGTGAAAGAGAATTAAAGGAAAGCAAAGCAAATACCTGCTCGTCCTCAGCACCAAAATCAAGCCACAATAATCTTGTTCCGTCATCAGACGACGAACGTAGTCTTTCAAAAGGGTACGACCAAATTTGCTGGGGTGGGTCAGAGGCATCCAGAAGCGTAAAGCCAGCTTCGTAGTGAAGTAATAATTGACACGGCTGGCCTTGCCAAACACAAGCTGTAGGGAAAGATATAAGAAAAGATTTGTTTTCAACTTTTGTGTAACAAAAATATTTAAACATACGGAAAACAGTTTCTTTTTGCTTCTGAACGGCGTCATGAGCGCCCTGAACCAGGGCCCTTGCCCAATTTGCCAGATCTCTATGTGTTTCTGTCCTCAGGTAATGTGAGATGATCCCCTCTGAAGTTCCGCATCTAATGCTGAACGTAATGAGCTCAGCAGACATTGGCAGGACAGAGCTGCCTCTTCTGCTTTGCGATCCAACCAATCTAAGAAAAAAGGTAATTAAAAAATATAATAGAATAAAACACAATTAGAATACCTGGTTGCCAACAAAGAACAACAATCAAAAGGCGTGGCCCATGATTCCATGCTCCAAGGCGCAGCGCCGTAAAGCCTGAGTTGCGAATCGGTGACAGCTGCGAACACAGACTGCCACCGCTCTCCTGTGTCTTCATTGTGTTGCTGTTTTTGAAAAGTGTCAATTAGGAACTAATTAACAAAAATAAAACAGATTAAGTTATGCGATTCAAGAAAGAAAAAAAAAGATGTGACGAAATGATCGTAAATTTGAAAGGCTTGGATTTTTACCCAATTTTAATTCAAATATTTAGTTCTTGTGGTTCTTTACCTCGCTCTTTCTGGCCAGCCATCCAATTTGCTGAAGTTCACCAGGAAGGGCAGGATCACTAATTCTGAGCGGGGCAATGACTTGGTTGGCTTGGTTCATAGCCATAGCCGTAAGAGTAGAAAGTGCCGAGTGAAGGGTATTGAACCAGGCGGCTGCTTCAGAAGGGTCGGGCGCGCGAAGAACACAGTTATGGATACCATCAGGGGAGTGCAGTTCAAACGAGCGGTTTTCTGTACAAGAAGAAAATTTATAAAACAAATTAAAACCAAATTTGAAAATGGAAAACTAAAACATTATCTGTGCAAAAATTAAATTTGGATTTGATTTTTATTACCAGGGTCTTGGTGTCTGAAGTTTCTGGTAAGGTAGCACAGTTGCAGGGGGATGTAGCGCGTGTCAGCCCTGGGCGCGCTCTGTCTCGGACTTGGCGGCCGTTGCGAGAGAAACGCCTTCTGCAGCTCCCAGCCTACTTCACTAATTATGGAGGCTTTTCTAAAATAAGGCGTCACTTCTCTTAAATATTTCACTGTAACATAGAAGGACGGCACAACTGTCAGTTGGAGGGCAGCAGCAGAAGTCGTCACACAAGAAGATGGGTTGATTTTTTGACGGGGGTTGGTTCACGCCGATACACGAACAGCAGGAATGGGGTTGGCACACACAACATGCAGGTCATGCAGATTTATTGAAAACAAAATAAGAAGAAGAAAAATGCAAATTATTACAAGATTTTGTAAGAAGTTGAAATTGGGGTGCCATTAATTCATGTTTGTTGAATTGTAACTTAACCTGTGTTGTTATTTAATTTTGACAGAACTGTTCTAGTTCTTTTGTGCAAGTAAATTTCCATTAAATTTAAAGGCAAAAAATTTTGAATTGCTGTTACATTATTTTTCAAACAAGCTTTTTTAAATTTAAAACTCAGTCAGTCGCTCAGTGTTTGTAATAAACTAAATTACGTGAATAACTACAGCCAAAACATACAGAGAGTGATATCGATTTATTTTTACTGAACACCAGCAGAAAACCACAATCAAGCCTAAAACAACTCATCAAGTAAAAGCCGAGTCTCAATTCAACAAATGCATTAAAAGATGGTTTACTTTTGGAGAGCTACAAAAGAAAAATATTTGATTTTGTCAAAATACATCTCAAAATATATTCTCCAAAAATCTAATGATTTTTCAGGCGCATCCATTAAAAATTTGCCAAAATTAAAATTACTATAGAATTAATTAAAAATCTCTAATCAGGGCAAAATAATTTACCTTCAAGTTCAACGACCTTGCCGGCTCTTTTAAGGGCCTTGACGGCCTCGTCGTGCGTGGCCTCTCGCAGATCCTCCCCGTTTACTGACAGAATGGCATCGCCGACGTAGAGCTGCTCAGTCAGGTCAGCCGCCATGCCCTTGAAGATCTTGGAAATGAGGATGGGCATTTTGTTCTCGCGGCCACCCTTGATGGAGATGCCGAGGCCATTGTTGTCCGACTTGACGACACAAACAATGCGCTTCTGGTTTGCTATCGACTCTGGCACGTCCGAATAGCCTTCGAGCACACCATTGTCCAGACCGCCGTTCAGGTTACCATTCTCGCAGGTCTCGTCCAAGCTGATGCTAAGGTGGTCCTCCTCTAGAGAGACAAACACTCGGTACCACTGGTTGCGCACAAACGTCTCCAACAGGCCCGACCTGCCGTAGCTGCTCATTTTGTCCGCCTGAAAATTTGAATTTTTTTTAATAAGTTTTGATTCACAAAAAACAAAATAAAAATCAACAAAGGAAGCTCTTGTTCAAAACAACAAGCTGTGGGTCAAATATGTGAACTCCTTTCTTAATTAGCACTTAAGAAAACGAGAAGCATCTGGTACTGCTTGAGGAGCCCGTGCCGTTATGAAGAAATTATTCGCTCGTCCGAGTGACCAGAAACAGAGAGCGCTCGGGGTGATATCACTTTTGTGTAAAAATAAAACGATGCTCCCCTCGCGGCGGTACTTATAATTGCAACGATTGTCCTGTGCAAAAATAAAGCCGCGCAATTGGAGACGGGGAGATGCTGAGAATAATAGCTCGGTTGAAAAGAAAAGAGGTGAATGAGGGATTAAGTTGCAGATTTCTCATTTCTGCAAAAGACTTTACAAGACGTCAAATAACGGAGAAGGGCGAGATTTTTCGTTACAGTTTCAGTCAATGATTGTGAATTTTTTAATACAAAACATTTATATTTTGAATTAAATTTTTTCCATTGTTATTAATTTTTTAATTACATATTAGTGAAAAAAGTTAATTCAGCAGCGAGAAATTATATATATGTAATTAATAAAAAAGTTATATTCTTTATGATAAAATAATATTTTTCATTCTTTTAATTCCGTAGAACCTCCTAAAACAATAATGTACTTTTTTTAAATTGATATGGAGTAAAAAAGTATTATTTATCTTTTTACCCAAATTAATATTTCCGTTTTACGTGGGCGACAGTGTGATTGAGAAGATTTTGCGTGTCCAAAACAAAGCGCACCATCGAGCCAAAGATCAAGAGCCGTGAACTTTCGACAATGCCGGGACAAAAGAAAATACAGAAAGCGCGTCCCGGGCTGCACTCGACGCTTTTTTATCGTCGTCGAGTGCGATACGCCAAACAAACAGGAGCCGCTGAGCAAATAAAGGGCTCGCGAGCAGCAGTTCAAGCACCCAAAACGACGACCCACTCAACTCACTTCTTCTGCTTCTTCGTCAGACGGAGGCGTTCGCGGGGGCCGCGCGTCTACGCGACGTCCGGCTGCATTCCTTTCAAGCGTCGGCGGCCGAATTATTTCTCGCAACAAAAATCCGCCGCCCGCTGCCCGACGAAAACAATAATCCGGCTGGCCAACGTTTTCTCTATCGATTGGCGAATATAATTGTTCAACCGCTGCAAAATACTACTAGTGACATCACACAATGGAAAGGGTTCGCGGAACTTTAAAAATGGCCGCTCGGTGGCGCACGCGCCCTTCCAGCGCTACCGGTGTAGGCAACCCGCGCCACTCGCCAGGCTCCTGCAGCCTCCGAGCCTTCCCCACCAGATGGCAGATTGCCCCCATTGATTTCCATTTAATGAATGAAAAAAGTTGAAAAAAAGAGGCAAAAATAATGTTATCGGTGAATAAATGGTGCATGGCGCATGACGTTAAATTGAACTTCTTAAAATTTTATGGCATTATGCTGAATATAATTATTTTCAACAACAAAATAAAAAAATTAAAAAAGAAATTTTCCAATATAGAAAAACGGCTTTATAACTAATAATTGTCATTTTTCTGGTTAATGAAAGCTTATTACTGTGATGGAATCATTTTTCATAATATAATAATTTTAATAACCTTCACCTTCTATAATGAATTTTGATACGCCTCGACAAGCTCTGCTGGTAATTCCTCCAAAATCGAAGGAGATGGTGGGCGCGAGTTAGGATTGCTAATTAATATTTCATCGCAGCAGAAGTTTCCGGTACTGCTTTCATTCTTGGATCTCTGTAGAAACGGAACATCCTCCTGCTCGGACAATGGAATGAGACAGTCAAAGTTGATGTCAGCAAAATCAGAAGCAATCTGAGCCTCCAGAGTGGTGTCTTGATCATTAGCCAATTTGTTTGCTTCCAAAATTTCTGAAAAACAAAACAAACAAATGTATTTAATGTACAACACAAGGAAAACTTGAAATACCATTTTTGTGGACATTTGAATGGATTTCTAAAGTTTCAGGATTGACAGTTGTAAAAGAGCATTTGCTGCAATTAAAAACAACTCCGGTTTTGCCTGCGGAGAGAAATTATTAAATAATTCAATCTTTGTACAACAAAATATTATTTATTAAGTTACCTGGGTGCTTCAGTAAAATATGGGACTTAAATCCTGTTGACTGGATGAAAGTGCTTTCGCAGAAAGGACAGTGGTATTTTCTGACCTCGGAATGAAGCATTTTGTGTCTCCGCAAAGATTCCTGGTAGGCTGTTTTGAAATCGCACTGGTCGCAATGATAGCGCTTTTCACTTGAATGAGATCTCTGATGATTCCGCAGTGCATCTAAAAAATCATTAGGCTTTTTAAAACTGCACCATATTAAAAATTATGCTGCATACTTGGGCCTGTAGTGCTGAAACCACAAATTGTGCACAATAACTGGACACCAGTGCCATGCACTTCTCGTTTATGTTTTTTTAAGCTCCTAAAATCCGAGTAAACCCTTTTGCATAATTGACACGTCCTACTTGTCCATCTTTCAGCGATAGGCAAGTGAGTTTGTCTAACATAAAAAAGCCATTGTATTATAATTAATAATTACATTGAAAGATTACTTGTGAACTTTAAGTTGGAAATGCTGGTGGAACTTTTTGTTACAGACATCACAGGCAAACTTCTTGTGACTGACATGCGATCGCATGTGGTTGATTAACAAAGGCCTCTGAGGAAACTTCATGTTGCAAATATCACAAGAAAACAATCCAGTGTCGATCTAAAATGTCCATTTACATTTTTAACATGAAATTTAAACAAAAAGATCTCACTTTATGCTCTGCCCATAAATGCGAGGAGCACTGGACCCAGTTACTAAAATACTTATTGCACTCGGGGCAGAGAAAACCTTGTTTACGACCAGAGTGGCACTGCATGTGCAAATCCATTTGTTCAGACTGCTTAAAGTTCAGTGTACACATCTGACAACTAGACAAAATTTTAATTTGTCGAGAATTATAAAATCGATTCACAAACCTAAAATTTGGTTTATGTTTTGCATCACAAATTGAGTCCTCGGGTTTTTTCGGTAGGTTAACTATGGGCTTTGCCACTTTATTTAAAGCCAAAGATCTTTTCTTCAGTCCAAGCTCCATGGATATTTTCAAGTGCTTGACCTGACTTGGAAAGGTCCTGCAGGTTCCCCTATTTCTCAAGAACGCCCAGTCGTGAAGCTTAAATATATATATTAAATTGAATTATTTCACAAATAATCTCAATTTTACCATAAACATGTGACTTTGACACTCTTCCATTGTGTCAAAAGATTTTTGACATTTAACACAATAAAACACCGTGGAGCCGTTTTTGCTACTTGTGGTATGCGGATTGGATTCGAGCAACTTAACGCTTGACGGAATTCTGTAAAAAGGCTGAATTAATACCCAGAATATTTAGGAGTGGAATATTTAAACCGTAAATGAGACTCCTGAATATTGTTGACAGGAGTAGAATTTGAAATCGTAGGACTGACAACATCAGCAAAATCTCCTTCGACATCAACAAATTCATCCTCGTTATCGGAAAATTCACATTTGTCGTTAGGAAACTTGAGTTCTGCAAAGTGTAGTAAAAATAAAAATGTTCATTTTTAATATTTATATGAAGCCTGTAAAAATTTGAAATTTATACAGAATTTAAATCATTCATCAAACTAACCCGTCGTGTTTCCTGGAATCGGCCAGTCCTCTCCTGATAAAGCGCCGGGATCAAGATAGAAGAACAGATGAGAATCTTGCATTAATAGTTCTTCACCTTCCATGGTGTTAGAGGGTAAAAGTAGAAATTTTTAGTCTTAAAATCCACATGAATGAATAAAAAATCCAAATGTTTAAGTTTTACATCAGTCACTCCAATGCCTGCTCTATACCAGGCGGACTTGGGACTTAGACTCAGTCTTTTTGGTGGGGGAAACTTAAGTACAAAATGTTGCCCTCATCTACACTACCGCTCAAGTTCGACTCAAACCGCGCCCACTTCCAGATATTTAGAAAAGAGAATTGTGTTTTAATGCTTACAAAATTAATTAAATTAATTAAATGGTTTTTTTGCCTAATAAATTTAATGTGAGGTAAACCTAACAGCGAATGATGTTTCCGTTTTTGTAAAAAATTAAATTAACTGCACCTCACATAATTTTACATTATTAAAGTCTGCGCCAAGCTCTGTATCTCCTTAACTTCTGGAGCAAAATTGATGAATAAATTATGAAAATGATCTTAAAAACCAAGCTATGATAAAATGATATGAAAAATATTATTTTATGAAGAAAAAATTTTGTTGTCAACAACAAATTGAACACATGTGAATTTGCAAGGAGGGAAACTTATAAAAAATATACTTATTAAAATTTAAGCTATTTTGTTTAGTAGAGAATAATAAAATCAATAAATCTCATGAAATTAAATGATTTTATTCATTTTATTGAGAAAAAATATAATTCTAAAGACTGAAACGTTTAAAAAAATGTTGTTATTTAATTTTTTCTAGCTATTTTGTCATGTTGGCAACAGTGGTTGGACATATAAACAAATCAGTAGAAACTCGAATATTGAAAAATAACATGAACACATAATTATTTTAATTTTACATGAATTATGAAGTGATGTGAAGCAATAATGGATATTCTGCAAAAATTTATTTTGAACAGTAAAGCAGCAAATTATGTCGTCAATTTCTTCGAAAATCTTAAAATACTGCCAATTCGAGAAGAGAAAATCAACTTTTTGACAGAGGTTTCGCCGGCAGTGGCTTTGTGTGCCGGCTTTGTGTTCGCCTTCATCATCTTCCTGCTCTACAGCGGTATGTGCCACAGAGTCAAGGTCAAGACAGACTACAGTCTGAGGCCTATGATGACCATTGCCTACCTGTTCGACTTTGGCGGCTACAGAGAGGCAGCCAAGGCTATGGACGAGTGGCGACTTTTGTATCCGTCACTCCCCAGAATAACCATTCTGTACAACAGCCCTGTGTATGCCATGTACCCAGAGCTACCTCCTGAAGAAATAAAAGTATACATAAATATTTTACCAATATATAATAATTTAAATATCAGTACATGTAATTTATATTTTAGAATACATAAACGCATGTATGAGAAATATATTTTACTTTCTATTAATTAAATAATAATATGAATTCTTATTTATTTTCAGTTGAAGAATAAATTTGCCTCCTATGCGATTGGTTTTGTGATCAGTGAAGGATCAAACAAGGTCTGTGAAAGAAAGTACTGCAAATTAAAAGAGCTTGGGTTCAACTTCACCGTGCTTCCTGAAGACTCTTATGCTGTGACAACCAAATTTGTGCACCGAAACTACTTGTCCCTCTTTTTTGCTTCCCAGAAGATTTTTATGCCTTTGATGCGTTTTGTTCAGGTGAAATTTAATCATTTTCCCTAATTTTTGCTGCCATTGACTCATTATATATAATTTTTCTAGGACAAATACTTGTGCGCCCATCCACTAATCCAAATTGACCAAAGAGGGATGTTGGACTTTTTTGCTCCTCTCGGCAAACAGTACGATTTCTATGTTCAGGAAGCTTCCACTTATTACGGCGTTTCATTGGTACACAAGGTGAGGATTTGATTTGTATTGTTTTCATGAATAAAATTGGATTTTCTTTTATTTAGGTGAGTCGTATTCAGCTAGTGAAAGAAGAAAATTAAATGGACCAAGACTGATTTTGGTTTTTCGCCAAAATCTGATATTCTATCTCGTCAGAGGGCTCTGTGAAAAACATCATGTTTTTTTTTTAATTTTGTGATAAAAAGTTTGGCATCATTTTGATGTGTTTAGGGCTTTTTTTTAATTGCTAATTAGTTTTTATCTAAGAGGAAACCATGTAATGAGATGAAATTTATGTAAAAACCAAATAATGTAGAGCAATGTAACTATGTATCAAAATCGTATAATTATTAAGTGAAGAGTTAAAAACAATACTCATTTTCATGTTGAAAATGATTTTTACACTACTGGATTTTAAGATAAATGATAACGCAGTAGCTTTCGAATTCCAAAACCGTTTGTATTCAGGTCGAATCTCAAATATTCTGCTTTGGAATTATTGTGATCTCTTGCTTATTGCTCAGCGTTTGAAATTTCAAACTTTCGATAACTCTTAATAAGGAATTAGGAAATCCTTTCTTGCAAAATGTGCATGTCCTGCACAAAAAATAAGTATAATTTTAATTGATAATTATGGAAGATAATTTTGCTTGTACATATCAGTGTGTATTATGCCATGTCTTATGCCTTTGTTTTAAATTGTGTCGATAGAGGATATTGGTGAGAATCAGTAAAATTAATTTCTTTGCGCAAAAGATTTTTCTTGTCTATTTTATTTCCATCTAGATTATTTGGACTATGAATCAGAATTTTAGATTGCAAATTGACCCTTTTTAAGTTTGCAGACTATCATCAATAATTGTTTGGGCTGTACTAAAAATTGAATCATGAATAAAAAATTCTGGTCCAAGAAATAAAATGCCGTCATTTGTACAATGAGGTTGCATTTTAAATGCACAGTACTAGCTGCGTATGCAAAATTTTATTCCCAAAAAAACTGAAATTTCTTTAGGAGATATTTTAGCAATGTGTGTGCGCAGCAGCTGAAAATAATGAAAAGATATAATATATCAATAATATAAATTGAAACACTGAATCCAGTTTTAATTTTACACTGGCATAAAAAATACTTTTGAAGCTGCGATCGAAAAATACTTCTTGACTCTGTTTTGCAAGATAAAAATTTAATGTGTTTTTACATATAAATAACACCGATGTTAAAAAAAAATTCATATGCATAAAATAACTTATAATGTAGATACCAAATATTACAAGAGATTTTACATTTTTTTGGTGATTTTTTGTAACTAAAAAAATACAATAATTTTAATCTAACACTGTGTAAGGACAAAAGTAAACCCTATATATAGCTAGAAAATAAAATTATTCACGCTTTTCCATACATATTTCATGTCTCATTTGAGTGGTAAAATTGGAGAAGGATATTGATAGAATAAAAGGAATAAAACAAAGTTGCATGAATATCTAAGAATAATAAAAGTATCAAAAGTATGTATTGTATTCTTTGCTCTTGGCGCGCTCCTGGGGAGAAAAATTTCAATATAATCACGCTCATGACTCCTTGACAGTTTTTTTTCTGTCGCGCGCGTGTAAAAATAATTGCATAGTTCAAGGTCCAAGGCAGAGGAAGGAGGAAGAAGAGCCGAAGAGTGTTATATATTTTTATTGTATATTTCTGCAAGGAGGAGCTCCGGGATTGTGAGAGTGGATCCTGCTTGTCTTCGCTCGCTTGCTCTCGAAGTCTCGATATTCTATGCAGTGAAAATGCTGCGCGGGAGTGACGAGAGGGTTGGTTAGCGCGGTGCGGCTTTGGAGAGTGGGTTGGCCGGTTGCACCCTCGGCGCCTGGCGGGCCCGCAACTCTCGTTGCAAGCAGCACAACCCAGTCAGTCTCCGCTCGCAGCTGCTCGCTCATCCACGTTCTTCCGGCAACCTGTTCGAGGTAAGCGCATGGTGTGCTTTTTGCACAGCTTCAATTTTTTTTCCTCCGTTTGAATGCCGTAAATCCGATTACCGATTCCAACTCTTGAATTAATTATGCTATCTCAGGGTGGAACTACACTGTCAAGGGGGCGTATTTTAAATCTGTGTATAAAATAATGAGCATCTAGAAACATATTAACCTTATGAAGGCTTTTTTTACCTTTTTTCTCATTTTTATACTCTTTAATTTCTTGTTTATGCCATCTGGTTTTTGTATCAATGTAATGAGGGACTTTTGGAAGAAAAAAATGGTTTTAAAATAATGATAAATCTACGTGGCGGCCGTGGCGCCATTTATTTCATCGGGAATATTAAGAAAAATGGGGTTATAAAAAAGCGCAATTTTTCTTGAGTCATGAAAATTTTGTAAAGATAACCAAGATATTTTTTTTTTGTTGCTATTTTGGTCACATATCATTAAATGAGCTTATCCAAATTAGGGTTTGAAAATAAAGATGTACTCCATAATAACTCAATGAAAATAATTGTTTACAGAGCGAGAAACTTGATCCAAATTTTGCACAATAGCCCGCCATGGAGAATTCGGTTTCCTTTTGTTGCCACACTTTTTGTTTCTCTGCGCAGATAATAAGGTCAAAGTTCCACAAAGTTCAATCATAATAATATTAATTCCTTTTTTGATAAAATTTTTAACTTCCAAATATAATTCAATAGAGCCTAAAGTTGAATAAAATTTTTACAAATCTAAAAACACTGAAACTTATAGAATATTTCATAATTTCATAATTATTGAGTGTTAGAAATTGTTTTTCATTTACTGGCTAGCATTTTAAAACTAAAAATTGTACAACTAAAAATTAACTTCTCAAATTAATTCGACACAACCAAATAATAATTGCTTGGAAATTGCTGAGTACACAATAATGAATGGTATTAAATAAAAAAAAAAAAACATTGGAATTGTCCTTGTCAAAATAAGCAAAAATGAAAATTAGTAAAATTATATAATTTTGAGTTTCATGAGTCTCACTTTATTTCAAGTCTAAATTTATGGAAAAGTGCACTGCAAATAAATTGTATCATCATTGTTGTTGCTTATTTTAATATTTTCTATTTTTATAAAATAACATAATTATTGTAAATGAAAAATAAAAAATTTGTGGGAACGGAAACATTGAATTGTTGGGAACAACGGCTCCACAACCAGCAATTTATTTTGCTAAAACTTCTGAGATAAAAAATATCTCATTCCCCGCATGAGTGAGCCTCTTTGTTTATAATTGCTCCAAAATTAAAAACATGAAATTATCCAATTTATAGTACAGAAAATCGCTGGTTCTTAAAGGAGCATGCTTTTTGTGTGTGCGGTCATGATAGTGGTGCCAGTATCTTGCTAATTAATATTTCATCTGTTCTCATTCTACGACCTGCATGGTAAAAACTTTTATTAGTTTTGTTTATTCAACCAATTAGGTACATAAATGAGATCAGAGAGTGGAAAGGAGAAAACAAACATGTTTCTTCTAATAGTCTAATTCTTTTTATGCACATTCATGAGATTCATGCTTTATATTATATTGTTTTCAAAAGAGACTTTCCGTGGACTGACTATGGATCTTAATATTTTGTATAAACCAGGTAAAATTATTTCTCAAAAGAAGCAAGGCAGAGTTGGATATTGTTCTAATTTTTAATTAATTGAAATAGTGTGTTAAATTTAATTTATTATTCACCTCGGCTACTGTGACTTCAGTACAGTCAGATGAATTTTATGTTCTATAGCTTTCTGGAAATATACATAAAAGTTTGTGGAGGTTGAAATTGAAATAACTTTGAAAGAGGAGGAAAGTCTGGGCCGAATGATAAACCCCTTTGGCCGGCCGGTCGGTAAAAAATCTGGAAACTTCTATGACTATTTTCTCTTGACTTTATCTGGTGTAAATTTTATACGGAAGAGTCGATCAGTCCTTATAATTAATGGAAATTGACGAATTTGCATGATCTACTTTGATCTATTTTAATTTCAGGCAGAAAAATTTGAAGAATTTTATATTATTCCCATTATTAATAGATTCTTCAAGAACAATTTGCATCACAATAGGAACGAAAGCTAAAGACAGGCCAACGAAACACCTGTCTTGGGTTGCAGTAAAAAATTCTCGAAAGTTTGTCCCCGTAACGGACATGAAAGCGACACGAGTTTGTAGATCGTTCCACCTGAAAAGAGAAGCTAGTTTGCTGAACAGGAAGTGTGCAAGCAAAACACAGTACCCATTATTGGCAACGCAACATGTGATGGAATTGCACACGTTTTGTCCCGCCAAAATCAATAACGAGGCGCCGTCGGATTATTTGCCTTTTCGCACGGAAAGAAAGAGCGCATTTTTATTTCGTCGAGCCGATATTTAAATGCGGCTCGTTTCATTTGAATTCGTCTCTCTCTGCCCGATAACTGGGGAAGGTCGCGCAGATGGATTTTGGCTCTTTTTATTCCGGTGACCGGATTTATTTTTTTTTCGCTGCCTCTCTCCGCGCGGCAGCTCATTTTATCGCGCACAGAGGGCTCTCCACCGCTTTTTCAATGACGGGCCAGAGAATAAAAATGTTCTATATGAATTTCTTTTTAATTAAACCTTGCATGTGGAAATTTTTCCGGTGCAGGCACAAAGCCACCGATTTCGTACGCGAATAACCAAGCCTTTCCGATAACAAAAAACACTACTTTTTATACGAGTACATTTTTTATTCCAACTGTAAGCCGAAAAGAGCGCTTCAGTAATATTTTCCTGCACCGTGGCGCAATCTCGAAACCCATTTTCGTTATATTTTTCCATTATATTGTGCGCGGCAGCTTCTCCCATCTCCAAATAATTTTCGTTGTAGGACTTGCGGCCGCACAGAAATGGAGAGAAAAAATCAATCTCTAAAAAGCATTCTTCTGATTGGTGAGCAAGAGGCTGGAAAATTAATAATAGTTTATAAAGGCAGTGACTGGGTTTTCCTCCACGTTAGGGTTATAAATCGTTCAATTTTTAATTTTACCACCTTCAATTAATCCTGAACTTTCTTATTATAGTAAAGCTTTTTCAGTAAAATTCCGCTCTTTTTTTGATCAGCTTTTCTTTATTATTTTTGTTCGTCCAAATTTTCACATCAAGCGATCTATTTGAAAAGAAAGTAGTTGTTTGTTAGAAAGGTTTTTTTAATTGATAAATTTCCTCTTTACCATCAAAGATTGCATTTTAATAAACCAGTAAAGCTAATTTTCAAATATATTGGCAAAAAGTCAATTATTTTAAAGACTTTGGTGCACCAGCTGAACAAAAGATCAGAACAACTTTCCTATTGTTCTTAGTAGTAAATTAATGCCCCGGAAAAAAACTGGTTAAAACCAGCCATGTGAAAAAAAAAACAAAGCTAATGAACTCTGATTGGAGCTTAACTGGAGAATTTGATTTGCATAAACCTTAATGAATTTAAATTCCAGATATGAAAATTGTTATTAACCCCTGAAAAGTGTGAAATTTTAAAGCACTTATCCTTCTTTAAATTGTTAAAATATTCCCGGCAACATGCATTTTGTTTCAGGATTCTATTATCACAATTCATTATTTTTTTTTGCCAGTAGTGCACATTGTGGTCCTGAGTATAGTAATATCTACGAAAGACGAAAACTTTACTTATGATTTTACGAAGGTCTAAAAGGCATTCATTGAAAAAGAACTGTTAACCCTCTTAAAACACGTCTTGTGGTTTATAAATTGATTTGGACTCGCCGACTGAAATTCGAAACTGCACCGTCAAAAAATATCTCGCGCGTCAAAAAAGGAATTTAGCCAATTACGAGACGTAACCTGATCAAACAGTAGACACCCATCAAGAGGGCAAACATTTCGCAATATGCATCCGCTTGGAGACCATGTAAATCGAGCGAACGATGCGGTTGCCGCAAACAAAGGAAGCATCAAAGCTGTACGAACTTTTGACCTTTCCGAAAACATCCAACATGAACATAAAAACAAAAAATTACAACACCGCTTGTTTTTGCCGCACAGACATAACATTACTTTCACTTTTCACTGGGTTTATATATGTTTAAATCTGATATTAGACCACCAGATTTAATTATATTTGAAAAAAAAAGTTCAGCACACTAAAAAATGTCATTAGTTTTTATTTTGTCATGGCAAACTACCTTTTTTGACGATATATTAAATATTAATAATTATTTTTATATTTAATACATGGACTGAAGCAGGATTAAAGATAAGTTTGAATATATTTACTAATTAAAAAAAATTGTATTATTATTTCCATAATTTTTTTAAATTTAATTTAGGGTCTAATTTTAAATAATAAATATAAGTTTTGATAACAAGTATAAGTTGCTGCGTTAGTAGAGCATGAATTAATTGTCTGTGCCCTCAAAAAGAGTCAATGAATAATGATATTTTTACTCCAAATTTCACTTCAACATAACTAAACGTAATGGGAATGTAACTTTGTTTTTATGGCAGTTGTTCAACAAATATCTAAACGGCTGAATTCTAATTAAACTCTAGAACTCTAGCATAATTATAATATTTAATTAAAAAGTTAAAGCTTAAAGGTCACGCTCGTGTGCGTGGCAAAAGTTATTGAATTGTAAAAACTTTAAAAATATGCTTGGTGCATTTTTTTTATGTTTTGGTTGCGATAATTGTATTTTACGGGGGGGGGGGGGGGTCAATTTTGAGAAGCTTTTTACGGGATATTATTTAAATGCCAATGTTATTTATTATCTGATATAAAAGAAAAAAGGCTGCCTCTTAAGTAGTGCAATACATTAAATTAATTCAACATTAATGAAAAATTCAACTCTCGAATTTGAATCCATCGGGTTCCATTATTAGCACACTTGAGTGAATTTCAAATAATTTGTTGACTTGTAAAAATCCCACGGACAAGTGAAGCTCTGGAGCAGTAATTTGATATCACAGTAAACTTTATCAAAAAGAC